GGTGTGGCCTCTCCAGGGCAGAGTAGAGAGGCAGGATCTTCTGCCTCGATATGCTGGCCACATTTCTTTTGATGCAGCCCAGGACACAGTTGCATTTCGGGGTTGTGAGTACATGTTGCTGACTCACATTGAGCCTTTCATTGACCAACACCCCCAGGTCCTTCTCCTTGAGGCTGTTCTCAATCCATTCTCTGGCCAACCTGTATTTGTGCCTGGGGGTGCCCCAACCCAGGTGCAGGACCTTGCACTTGGCCTTGTTGAACTTCATGAGGTTGGCATGGGCCCACCTCTCCAGCCTGTCAAGGTCCCTCTGCATGGCATCCCTTCCCTCTAGGGTGTCAACCACACCACACAGCTTGATGTCATCAGCAAACTTGCTGAGGGTGCATTCGATCCCACTGTCCATGTTGCTGACAAAGACGTTAGACAGCACTGGTCCCAGTACCAACCCCTGAGGAACACCACTCATCACTGGTGTCCATCTGGACGTTGAGCCATTAACTACTACTCTCCAAGTGCGACCATTCAGCCAATTTCTTATTCACTGAGTGGTCCATCTATCAAATCTATATCCTTCCAGTTTTGATACCAGGATGTCACGTGGGACAGTGTCAAACACTTTGCACAGGTCCAGGTAGATGACATCAGTTGCTCTTCTCTTGTCTACCAACACTGTGATCCCATCATAAAAGGCCACCAAATTTGTAAGGCAGGATTTGCCCTTGGGGAAGCCATGTTGGTTTGCACCAACAACCTCCATGTTTTCTATATGCCTTAGCAGAGCCTTTAGGAGGCTCCATGATCTTGCTGGGCACAGAGGTGATGCAGACTGGCCTGTAGTTCCCTGGTCTTCCATATTTCCCTTTTTGAAAATGGGGGTGATGTTTCCCCTTTTCCAGTGAGTGGGAACTTCACCAGACTGCCTTGACTTTCCAAATATGATGGAAAGTGGCTTTGCAACTTCATCTGCCAGCTCCCATAATAGCCACAGATGGATCTTGTCAGGTCCCAAGGACTTGTGCACTTTCAGGTTCTTTAACCTGCTCTTGAACAGAACCTGCAGGTCTTGAACCTGCTCTTCTCCTACAGTAGGCAGATCTTCCTTTTCCCAGTCTCCACCTCTGCCTTCTCTCACCTGGACGGTGTGACCAGAGCTCCTACCGGTGAAGACTGAGGCAAAAAAGTCATTCAGTACCTCAGCCTTCTCCATGTCCTGCATGACAAAGTTTCCTGTTTCCTTCTGTGGAGGGCCCATGTTTTCCCTGTTCTGCCTCTCATCACTGATGTACCTGTAGAAGCCCTTTTTATTACCCTTTATGTCCCTGGCCAGGATTAAGTCTATCTGGGCTTCAGCTTTCCTCACCTGATCCCTGGCTTCTCAGACAACTTCTCTGTATTTCTCACAGCCTGCCTGTCCTTGCTTCCATCCTTTCAAGACTTTCTTTTTTCATCTAAGAGTGTCCAGGAGCTCTTTGTTCATCCATGCAGGTCCTATGGCATTCTTGACTGCCTTCCTCTTGGGATGCATTCATTGCTTCTGGGCTTGGAGGAGTTAATCTTTGACTATTGACCAGCTTTCTTGGGCTCCTCTCCTGTCCAGGATTTTATGCCATGAGATCCTACCAAGTAGACCTCTGAAAAGGTTGAACCTGCTCTTCTGAATTCCAGGGTAGCGAGCTTGCTGCTGACTGTCTTTGTTGCCCTGTGGCTCCTGAATTCTATCATTTCATGGTCACTGCAGTCAAGGCTGCCCTTAAGCGTCACATCCACCAGACCATCCTTGTTGGTGAGGACAAGGTCCAGCATAGCACCTTTTCTTGTTGGTTCCGCTACCATTTGGGGGAGGAAGTTGTCATCAATGCATTCCAGGAACTTCCTGGATTGCTGGTGCCTTGCTGTGTTTGTTGCCTCTCCAGCAGATGTCAGGGTGGTTGAAATCCCCCATGAGGATCATCATCTGTGAAAATGAAGCTGCACCTATCAGCCTGTAGAGGCCTTGTCCACTCAGTCATCCTGGCTATGTGACCTGTAGCAGACTCCACTGTGGTATCACCAGCCCCTGTCTGCCCTTTAACCCTGACCCATAAGCTCTCTGTCAGCTCCTCAATCATCCTCAATCATCTGGAGCTCCATGGCCTCCAGCTGGTCGTTGATGTAGAGGTGACACCCCCTGCTCTTCTCCCCTTCCTGTCTCTCCTAAAGAGCTTATACTCATCTCTTCCCACACTCCAGTCATAGGAGTTGTCCCACCATGTCTCAGTGATGCCAATAACATCACAGTCCTGCAGGTTGCACGCATCTGCACCTCCTCCTGCTTGTCTCCCATGCTAGGTGTATTTCCATAGAGGTATTTCAGCCGGGCCCCACTGAAACTGCCTCACTGCCCGGGATGCAATTATCCTTTGTTACAGGATCCTTCTCTAGGCCCAGGGCATCTAACAGTGGCATAGGCCTCAAAGTGGTGGCAGTGGGATGGATTGAGGATCCTGTCCCCCATGACTCCTTGGGCATAGCTCCCCTGGGGTCCCTGCCAGTGGCTGATGGGAGAGAGGAACCCCCTTTCTCCTTCCTAGCACTGCCTCCTCCCTGAAAAGTGTCCCCCAGAGAAGGCTCTGAACTAGGGGCTATGTCCATGCTGTGGGTGACTCCATTCTCTTCCCTCCAGCATCCATTCCAAGGAGATCTTCCACTCTCTGACCATCTCCTTTTCCCGCTGCTGGGAGTTCCTGCTCTGGATGGATCCAGCAAATTATGGAGGTATCAAGGGAAAAGTGAATTCTCGCATCCATTACGGGGAGGTAAGAGGTGGGAAGAGCTTAGTGCCCCAGGAGCTGGGGATGGGGCTGGACATGAGGAACTGCTGCAATACTCCTGGCTTCTCCAGCAGGACACCAGCAAGAGGCAGGTGTTGGAGGAGGAGGCCAGCGAGGATGAGGAGGAGGAGGTAGCCACAGGGGAAGAAGAGGAGGAGGAAGGGGAGCCAAATGTGGAGGAGATGCTGGAGAACAGCTGGAACATCATGCAGTTCCTACCCCAGGCCGCCTCCTGCCAGAGCTACTTCCTGATGATTGTGTCAGGTGAGCTGTACCAGGAGGGGATGAGATGGCTTGTGCCTCCCTAGTGCCAGGGAGAGCCCACAGTGTGGCAGCTGCTGGTGCTGACTGGAGCTGGGGTCTTGCCTGTGTCTTCTCAGCCTACATTGTGGCTGTGTACCACAGCATGAAGGAGGAGCTGCGGTGCAACACTCCTGGGAGCACCCCTGTCAAGAGGAGGAGCACCAGCCAGGTGTTCCAGGAGGCCCTGGGGGAGGTGGGGGCCATGCCCGGTGAGTGCTGAGCCACAGGGCAGCCCTGCTGTAGGCAGAGAGCCACCCACCTTGCTGTGCCGGTATCCCACCATTACACCTCAAGTGTTCTCTGCTCCATTTCTCTAGGCATGATCACCTTCTCACAGGATTATGTGGCCAATGAGCTCACCCAGAGCTTCTTCACCATCACCCAGAAGATCCGGAAGAAGATGGCTGGTTCTCGTAATGCCACTGAGCCTTCAGACATGTTTCCAGTGCTGCCTGGCTCCCACTTGCCACTCAACAACCCAGCTCTGGAGTTCATAAAAAGTGTTTGCAAGGTCAGCAGGGTGGGCCAGGCCACTTTTCTGAAGGTTTGTGGTTAAGGCTCCAATTCTAGTCCTTGCCCATGGCTCATGTTTGCAGCACCATTTCTCCAGGACTGATCTGCAAACACTTTGTCTTGCCATGCATCCATATGAGATCACAAGGATTATTGGCTGTCGTGGTGAACACACTCCTCTTCTCTGCTGGTAGCCTCACCTGGCTCTTACTCTTGTAGGTCCTCTCCCTGGACACCAACATAACCAACCAAGTGAACAAACTGCGCCGGGACCTGCTGCGCCTCATCGAGGTGGGCGAGTTCTCGGAAGAAGCCCAGTTTCGGGACCCTTGCCGCTCCTACGTGCTCCCTGAAGTCATCTGCAGGAACTGCAACTTCTGCAGGGACCTGGACCTGTGCAAAGACCCTGTCTTCTCCCAGGTGCAGCTGCTTTCCTGGGGACACCAGAGGCCCCAGCATGACAATGCTGGAAGCCAGTCAGTCACATTTCCCCATCTCTCAACCCTTTTCCTTTGCAGCTCTGCTGCTGGTCACCAACCTTACCTAAAGGCCATTTTCTGTTCAACTCCTTTTCTAGCAGCTTGTGACAGGTCTGAGCATTCCTTGGCCTTGGTTTGATGCTCTGTACTCTCCAGAAACCAGTTTCACCATCCCAGTGCTTGGGCCTCCTAGTACTCACCTCCCTCCTCTTTGCCCCTAGGATGGGTCAGTGCTACCTGGCTGGATCTGCTCCAACTGCCAGGCACAGTACGACTCTGATGCCATTGAAGCAGCACTGGTGGAAGCCCTGCAGAAGAAGCTGATGGCCTTCATGCTGCAGGACCTGGTGAGTGCAGGGCTGCCCAGCTCTGCCTGTACTGGGCCAGATATATTCAATCTGCCTCTGGTTGACTTGGCCTTGTCTCTTGGCCTGTGTCAATCACCTTGTCCTCCAGGAGTGCCAGAAGTGTCATGGCGTGAAGGAGATGCACATGCCTGTGTACTGCAGCTGTGCTGGAGACTTTGCCCTCACCATGTCCTCCCAGGTAGGCCTGCACCCTCCTGCCCAGCCCCATGCCAGCAGCTCCTAGAGGGAAAACAAGGAGCCCTGCGCTGCTGTGCTTCTTTTCTCTGCCTGGGACTTGCTGTGCTGCCCCCCCAGCCCTGGCCAGCTACCCTGGGGTCTTGGGCAGCCTCCTTTCATCTCTGTCCCCTTCTCCCCAGACCTTCATGGAGCACATCAGGGTCTTTCAGAACATCGCCCGACACTATGGCATGGCCTACCTGCTGGAAACCACTGAGTGGCTGCTGCACACCAACCCCCTGCTCCACCACTGAGGCAGGGGGCTCCTCCTGCCTGCACCTGCCACTGGAGGCACCGGGGCCCTGCTCTCATGTCCATAGGAGGGTGATCATGGACTCTGTTGGCTCTGAGAAGCTGTACACCCCTCCTGCAGCGAGGGAGAGAGGGCAGGAGCCGGGCTGGGGCCAGGGCTGTCCTGCCCCGGCTGCCTGGCCGCAGCCAGGGCTGGAGCTGACTCCCATAGGTCAGTGCTGACCCCCAGCTGTGCTTTTAAAGTTGAGTTGCTTAAGTAAATGGATTTTAGAAGGCAGATGTCCTTCCTGGGGATGGGGGGGAGCAGCATGTCTGCAGTTGGGGTGGTCGAGCTGTGTCATTTTCTCTTGTCTGCCTGGGAGCAGGGAGGTTGCAGTATCACAGTATCATTCTGTTTGAAAAAGACCTTCAAGATCATAGAGTCAAACCATCACCCTAACTCTGCTGCATCCACCACTAAACCCTGTCCCCTGGCACCACATCTTTCTTTTTAGATGTCTCCAGGGATGGTGGTTGAGCCACCTCCTTGGACAGCCTGGATCACCCAGTCCAACTCCCACCCCAGAACAGGACAAGCCTGAAATTCATACCATGTCCCTGAGGGCATTGTGCAAATGCTTCTTGAAAATGTCAGGCTTGGTGTCATTCCTGCTTCCCTGGGGAGCCTATTCCAGTGCTCCACCACCGTCTGGGTGAAGAATCTCTTCCTAATGTCCAACCTAAACCTCCCCCTGAACTTCTTCCTACCTTCCCCTCAGGTCCTATCGATTGTCACCAGAGAGAAGAGGTCAGTGCCTGCTCCTTCCCTACTGAGGAAGCAGGAGCTGCCTTTAGGTGATGCAGTGCAGCCAGGCAGCTTCTACTGGCTTAGCCCCCCCAGGTTGAGGGGCTGCCCCTGGTGCAGCAGCAACTTCCTGCTCCTGGGAGGGGAGGTGACATCATCTTGCAGTGGCACTGCCCTTAGCAGGGGACAATGCCACCACTTGTGTCAGGTACAGCCTGTGGGCTGGGATGGGACGCTTTGGCTGGGGGCACCCAATCCTATTCCCATATCCCTGCAGCAGGGCAAGCAGCCCCAGGTGCCCAGAGATCCCCACCACTGCTGGGAGCTGTATGTGTGCCTACCATGGCACTGCAGGGCTCAAGGATGGGGGGACAGCCACTACATGTGACACTCCTGTCCCCTCTAGCTGGCCACATGCATGGAGCTACTTGAGGTTCCCTGGCCTACCTGCCTCAGGGAAGAGGGGCAGAGGGATGGAGGACACAGCTGGACTCCTGGTTCTGCAACAGCAGGGAGCTCTGCCCAGAAGTGGCCCTGAAGAGCCCTGGCCAGGGGCTGTGCTCAGTGCTGCAGAGGAAGGTGGAAAAAAAAAACAGGGACCTGTGCCAATCTGCCCGGGGAAAAAAATTCCTTCCTGACCCCTGAGCTGGCAATTGGCTGCTCCCTGACTGTGAAAAAGAGTTACCACTTGCCCCCTGGGACTCTCCTGGCTCCAGAGAACACCAGCACTGCCCCACCTTCTCCTCCCTCCACTAAAGGCACCTCAGGACCTTCCCAGCATGGACATCTGAGAAAGGTTTCTTCCTCTGGCAGGTCACTGCAATCTGAGGCAGCCACCAAGGGTTGCCCCAGGCAGGTGTCTGAGCTGCTGGGCCTCATCTGGGAGAAGCTGTCATGGTTTGGGTCTAACCAACAATAAAAACCAGCCACGTGGTCACTCTCCCACCCATGCCATACACACAGTGCGATTGGGAAGAAAACTAGAAGCTCATGGGTCAAAGATGTTCACTCACTGATTACAGTCAAGGCAAAACAGCCTCAACTTGGGGAAAAAAACCCGTCTATTTAACAAGTCAAATGTGAACAGGAGACAGACAAAACAGCTCAGGGGTGATGGTGGATGAGAAGCTCAACAAGAGCCAGCAGTGTGAGCTTGCAGCCCAGAAAGCCAAGTGTGTCCTGGGCTGCATCAAAAGAAGGGGGGCCAGCAGGTCAAGGGAGGTGATTGCCCCTTTACTTGGTTCTTTTGAGACTCCACCTGGAGTTTTCTGTCCAGTTCTGGAGCCCCCAACATAAGAAAGACCTGGAACTCATGGAAAAAGTCTAGAGGAGTCCATGAAGATGATCAGAGGGCTGGAGCACCTCTCCTATAAGGACACGCTGATAGAGCTGGGGTGTTCACCCTGGAGAAGGCTCCAGGGAGACCTTAGAGCACCTTCTTGTGCCTGAAGGGGCTCCAGGAAAGCTGGGAAGGAACTCTTGACAAGGGCTGTAGTGAGAGGACAAGGGGGAATGGATCAAAACTGGAAGAAGGGACATTTAAGTTGGACATTTGGAGGAAATTCTTTAGTGTGAGAGTAGTAAGACAATGGAACAGGTTGCCCAGGGAAGCTGTGGCTGCCCCATCCCTGGCAGTGTTGAAGGCAGGTTGGATGGGGCTTGGAGCAGCCTGGGCTGGGGGGCGGTGTCTCTGCCCATGCAGGGGGTTGGATCTAGATGGTCTTTATAAGGTCCCTTCCAACTCAAACCATTCTATGATTCTATGAAAACAAAGACCAGTGCTTCAATACCTCACCCAACCCCTCCCTTCTTGCCAGGTCCGAATCACTTTGTTCCCCAGTTCCATGGGCTGCAGCTCCTCCAGGCACCTTCAGGGGATGCTCTGCTTTGTTCCTCCAAGACTGCAGGGGGACAGCTGCCATCTCACCATGGGCTGCAGGGGAACTTCTCGGGCACGTCCTTCCCCTTCTTATTCCACTACTATAAGGAAAATCTCATCCTGGATCCACCCAAGACTCCTGGGTATCTCCCAGTCTTTTCAAATTTTCTAATCAGGACCTGAATTCCAGATAGTAGCCCCAGACACATTCAAGGAAGCTACTCCTGTCCTCTGGGATCCACCTGAGACTCCTCCCAGGCATCTTCTGAAGCTTTCTGACCTCTGCTTTACCTACTGGAGATCCTAAGTAGCAGCCCCAGAACCCCCCAAGCAAGATATAAAAAGAATGGAAAGAATGGAAAAGGATATAAAAAGATATAAAAGAATGGGTTTTCAGCACTGAAGCACAATCTCCTCTGGGATCCATAGAATCATGGAATCACTAAGGCTGGAAAAGACCTTCAAGATCATCAAGTCTGACTAAACCATCTCCTGAAGCACCATGTCTACCTGTTTTCTGAACATCTCCAGGGATGGTGCCTCCACCACCTACCTCCCTGGGCAGCCTGTTCCAAGGCCTCGCCACTCTTTCTGTGAAGAAGGTTTTCCTAATACCCAATCTGGACCTCCCCTGGTGCAACTTGACCCCATTTCTCTTGTCCTATCACTGGTCACTAGGGAGAAGAGCCCAACACTCACCTCACCACAACCTCCTCTCAGGCAGTTGTAGAGGGCAATGAGGTCTGCCCTCAGCCTCCTCTTCTCCAGGCTCCACAGCCCCAGCTCCCTCAGCCCCTCCTCATCAGACCTGTTCTCCAGATCCCTCATCATTCTCTGCACCTTTTCCAGCACCTCCATGTCCTTTCTTATCCTTTGGTGCCCAAACCTGCACTCAGTGCTCGAGGTGCAGCCCCACCAAGGCCAGGCAGAGGGGCAGGATCACCTCCCCGGTCCTGCTGGTCACACTATTCCTGGTGCAGGCCAGGATGGTGTTGGCCTTCTTGGCCACCTGGGCACACTGTTGGCTCATGTTCAAACTGCTGTCAACCAGGTCCCTCTGCTGGGCAGCTCTCCAGCCGCTCCTCCCCAAGCCTGTAGAGCTGCTGGGGGTTGTTGTGGCCAAAGGGCAGGACCCAACATTTGGCCTTCTTGAAACTCATACAACTGACCTCAGCCCATCGATCCAGACTGTCCAGGTCCCTCTGCAGAGCCTCCCTGCCCTCGAGCAGATCAACACTCCTTCCCAACTTTGTGTCATCTGCAAACTGACTGAAGGTGCACTCTGTCCCCTCATCCAAATCATCATTAAAGATGTTAAATAGCTCTTAGCCCTGGGGACACAACTCGTGACAGGCCCCAACTGGATTTCACTCCACCCTACACAACTCTTTGGGCTCAGCCATCCAAAGAGTGTTTTATCCAGCAAAGCATGTGCTGGTCCAAGCGCCAAGCAACCAGCTTCTCTAGAAGCATGCTCTGGAAAACTTTGTCAAAGGCCTTGCTAAAGGCAAAGTAGAAAACATCCGCAGGCCTTCCCTCATCCAATAAGCATGTCACTTTGTCATAGGCACACAGGACCTGCCTTTCATGAACCCATGCTGACTGGGCCTGGTTGTTCTGCGTAATGGTACTCAGGATGATCTGCTCCATCAGCTTCCCTTGTACCAAAGTCAAACTGACAGGCCTGTGATTTTCCAGATCAGCCTTCCATCCCTTTTTATATATAGGCATTACATTGGCTGATTTTCAGTCTGCTGGTACCTTCCCTGTCAGCCCTCAGCATGGCTCACAGCTCTTCCCTGGGGACATTCCTGGCACCCGGGCTGGGTGTCTTGCTGCCGTGGAGCATGAACAGTCATCTCACCAGGGCTGCTGCAACGGGCTCGGTCCCAGTTGCAGAAGAGAGGGTCAGGCTGGCTGCAGAGTCAGATTTAATGTTTTGGCTAAGAGGTATTTATCCCACCAGAGATGTTCTTCCACCTTCCAGTTCTTCTCAGCTTTACCATTGGCAGCCTTGTGACCCATGTGCCACTGAGGCTGCAATGCTGTTGGGGGTTTGAAGGCAGCAGTCTGAGGGGAGTTTGGAAAACAAGAGAACTAAAAGAGTTCAATACTGGGTCCTTTTTGTTGTCTCTGCTGAGAGGCACCTTTCTTGCCAATAGTAAAAAGGGGGTTGAACTAGTGTGCACTTCTGCCCTCTCTCTGGTTCCTGCACACAGACTAGAAGAAAATGTGAGCAAATCAGTTTCAGTAACAGGAGCAAGATGAGGAGATCTCTTGAGGTATCAATGATAAGAGCACAAGTAGGGACTGTAACAGCAACTTACTGCCTGAAAATGTGTAGAGAAAGTGTAGAGGAAGATGCTTTGAGAAAGGGTTGGTAACTGCCATTGTCTGTTCACTCTGCAGGAACAGGGAAACAGTCTGGAAAGTAAAAATTGATCTCAGAGAA